CTCTAGCGCATAGAAAGGGAAGCCCCAGAAGCACACTTCTTCCTCATCCTTTTCGTTCTTCACCGCTCTCCTCTCCCCTCAAATGCACGTTACTTTGTCAATCGGCAAAGGATCTACGCCATTTAGTCCTTATTTCCACCTATCCTAGCCTCCCTCCCCTGCTTCTAACTTCCAACCAACCCACCACATACCACCCCACTTCCATCCCCGAAATTCAAACTGCCACCATCCGCCGTCAGGCAGCCCTATCTGCAATTTTTGCAGCTCGTGTAGAGACGAGCCTAGTTATTGTAATTGCCTTCCCACAGGGGTTATCAGTTCGCCTAACTTGTTTCGTTTTCGTATGGTTGGTATTGATCCTGCCTTGTGAAGGGAAGAGGGTACCTGGATGCAAGAAGGGGCCAGGTGGGGAAGGTGGGGGGGGGGTTGAATCGCGCTTCCGACATCCGGCATTTTCGCGTTTTCCATCACCGACTGCACACGGTTGTTTTTTGTCAGTGGTGTTTGAATGTTATGAGAATTCCGGGCTCCGCATGTCCCCCGTTACCGCTTCGCCCTCTCCCCTCCCCTCTTCGTGCACCCTTCCGGCTCCGTTGTCCAAGCTCAGGCTCTCTGGGCTCTGTTGTTGCCGCGGTGCTCGTGAGTCACAAATAGCAAGCACCCTGGCCATGACTATTTTTGGGTTCACTCCTACTTGCTGTAGGATTTGTTCGCTCTCGAGTCACGCATTTTTCAGCACAACCAAAACAACCGTAATGCTCCCTGGCTGGATTTTGTGCCCTCCACTCTCAGGCTTTTGTGGATTCTCATGCAGATTATTTTCGCGCATATCAATCGAGGTAAAAATGAGGGTCCCACTCCCCCGCACTCCTTCTTTCCACTCCCTTCCCTTGACATTGCGCTGAACTGCGATTATGAGACGTGAGTGAAATCTACATTCACTATCAGCTACTTCTATTTTGTGTTCATCTCACTGCGTTACATCAAAATGTCATTTTTATGCGTTTTTTACAGCTATGCAATGCGAAAAACGCATATTGACGAGGGGTTGTCTGTGTGTGTCTGTCTGTCTGTGTGTCTGTGTGCGTTTGTCACGGTTTTTCATCTCAAGACCTACAAAAGCTACAGGGCTGAAACTTTGGGAAATTAATCTACGTGCACGTACGGGCCCCAGTCTCCGAAATTGGCGCCATTACCCGCGTGATATTCGCGTACGGGCCCGCCAAGATTATCACGGGGTTGTCTGCGTGTGTGTGTGTCCGCAGCAGCTTGTCCGCAATTTTCAACTCGGGAACCACAAAAGCTAGGAAGCTGAAAACTTAGGGGAACGTTCCCCACCCACGTGTGACCCCGCAAATTTAAATTCAGCTTCTCCGTACCCGCGGGTCAATACGTATGGCCCCATGAAAGTTTTTTGCGGGCCCGTTGAGTATCACCTACGGCCTCGTGAAAAGGCAGGTAAACTATTAACTTGGGACAAAGATATTCACCCTTCAAGGTTTCGAATTCAGCTTTCATGCGCTGGTGAGTGAGATTTTTAACTGTTTTCCAATGTTTGAACTATTTTTGCATAGACAAAAGTAAAAAGCAGTGAAAATCATTAATAGGCAATCGTTCGATGAGTTGAATTGCATAAAACGCATGTCGCACCGGCTAATCTGGTGCGCGTTGCTATTTATTTTTTCTGCCCGTGAATTTTCGAAGTTTTCACCTCACCCAAGTAGTGGACGCGCTGCTCTGAACTGTGTGTGTGCATTGCAGCAACGCCGATGGCAAATCGAATTACGACGCCCACGAACGTGAAACTACTCACGAACGTGGCAGTGGTACGTATGAAGAAGTGCGGCAAACGTTTCGAGATCGCTTGCTACAAGAACAAAGTTGTCAACTGGAGGAACAAAACGTCAGATTTTTTTTTGTTTTCAGAATTTTCATCAGTTTGAGCACTTATTGACATATTATTGTTGCCAAAAAACAACTATTCGGACGTCCCGCGAAGAGGTGGCACACGTACATTGAACAGGTGGTAGGCACCAACTGAAGGCATTCAGCCCGAGACCGAACAGCTAGGCATAGTTAAGCTTGATGTGCTACAGCACTTCAGTAATACCACTAGAAGGGAAAACTCACACCGATAGTCCAAGCAGTTTGGTGTTCTTGTCAGAACTTTATAACTTACCATCCTGTGTGTGGATAGTTTGATATTGCCAAAACATCCGTTCTCAGATTCTGCTTCAGGAACCGATCAGTATTTAGCAAATTCATGTTTCCCGATGATTCAGGAATTAAACACCTGTTCAGCACGCTGTTCTCATAAAAAGTGTTTGCTCATAATTGGCAAATAGTGACTGTCGTATCATGGGTTAACTTCCTCTTCTTTCTCTCCTCCCTCACTCTGTTTGCTTGCTCTTCCTCCCTCTGATCTCTCTTTCTTCCGCATATCTTCTTGCAAATTAGCTTCACGACTGTTCAGTACAGGCGGGTGGGAAGCTGTACTGAAATCCCCGCCCCTGTCCGCATGCACTGCTCGGTCTGTGTTTACAGCTTAGGGATGAAACATAAAGCACATCGTAAAATGTCCTCCGGCACATGACACTTAGGACCACTCCTTCTATTCTGCTATTTCTTCCTACTGCTGCCTGTCTTCTCCTCTCTCATTCACTGCTATTTTCATTTTCCTTCGCCTCGTCAAGCTCTCTAAATCCTCAAAATTATCATTTTTTCTTTACTGTCAAAATGAGAAGTCAAATTCCCTTGCATTTTCGATCTTTATAAGAAGCAAACGCTTCGGAATCAGCTTGAATAGTTGCAAGGGCGTCCAGGAGCAGCGTTTCGCTGACAAGACTGTTGATGATCCCTTCTTGAAAAGGTTGCTTAGAAGCAAACTGATAATATTTAGGTTACGCAGATACTAATTTCCTATCGAAACAAATGAACCAGTCGAAGGGGTTTGGATGTCCCAGTGGCGGAATCGGACCTTTGACCTCCCTGTACAGGAATAGTTCTAGTTGCCATTACTTCATCGCAATATGCAAATATGTGGGTTTCAAACGTCCGCCGGTCCAGCTTTAATTTCAATTGCCAGCGCCATGTCTATAGCGCCTTTTGCTATGTCGCGCTTAGAGAGAACAACAGCCGAGAGTCTTGTATCCAGATCCCTTTTTTTGACCGGAGGATCGCGAATAACCGATGCTTCAAACCCGAGAAAACCAGCACTTACTTACCCCTACAGTCATGCTGATGATAAAACGTGGAAATCGCGGAAGAAGGAATTCAATAGTTTTTGACTGACAGATTTTAAAAATTTAGTGAGAAGGATATTGATGAAGTGCTGCAAACGGACACTGTCTTCACGAACGTTTCGAAGGGACAGGTGGCGAAACGGGAGGAGTTGGTTGCAGCGTTTGGTACTGAAGACCAGCTGGAAATTTGTAAAATAGTAAGCAGTTGAATTTTGATGCTTGCTCCTCCC